TGCTCCCTTGGGTGTCTTGCTCTTGGAGAAGTCAGCCATGTTGTTGTGGAAACCCTTAGGAAGCCCGATAAAGAAATCTACATGGTGAGAAACTGAGGTCTCCAGCCAAAAATTGACAACTTGCTGGCCAGGTAATGAGCCATCTTGGAAGTGACTGATATCCAGACCATGACCTCATGAGAGATCCTGAAACTGAACTAGCCTGCTAAGCTGTTTCTAAATTCCTGGTTTATAGAAATTGTGTGAGGTAAATAAATATTTATTGTTACCTTAAGATACTAAACTTTGGGGTAATTTATAACACTGCAATATATAACTAATATGGATTCTCAGTGCTAAGACTGGATAATAAACAGCTGCTTCAGCTCATGGGCTAAGGGAACTGCTTACTTCCTGTCTCTGCAGATTTTTTTTTTGCTATAGCAGAATATATGAGTCTGAGTAATTCACAAAGAAAATATATTTATTTCTTACATTTCTGGAGGCTAGGAAGTCCAGGGTCAATGGGCCACATCTGGTGAGCTCTTTCTCGCTTCCCAAAGTGGCTAAGGGCAACGTAATAAAGGGGCTCATAAGAGACAGCTGTTTAGCTTTTGTAACAGCCCTATTGTTTTAGGTTTAACAGATCTAACCCACTCAATAACTCATTAATCCATTAATGGATTCATTCATTCATAAGGGCACAGCCCCATGACCTATCACCTCTCAAAGGTCTCAACTTCAATTAGCATTAACATATCACTTTGGGGATTAAATTTCCAGCACATGAATTTGGGGGGACAAACACTGAAAGCACAATACTTCTCAAGCCAAGAGTGGTCTTGACCAGTGTCCTTTCACTGACCCCAAACGGCGATGTCACAAATCGTTCTCCCTACCCTTTGTCACTAAGGCATCTCTGGAAGACTGGACTCATGAAGGTAATGGGGTGAGGCATGAATGAAGGGACCATTTCAAAATTAGGGGTTCATGAAGTTTATTACATTCTTATTAGCCCTTGTCAGTACTGCTTTTGGGGCTTTTCGAGTCCAAAATTCTTGACCACAGAATCCTTTCTTTGTATGATGGACATCATTGGTCCCTCCTGCCCTCTCTTCTTTCTTCTCCCTCTCTTCCAAGAGATATCCAGAGCCTCAGAAAAGACGATCCCTCTAATTCTTCTTGCCTTGTGCCTAGAATTGCTGTTACTAACCCGTTGCCATCAGGAGAATAGCAAATTGGGCTCCAATGCATCTGTTGCCTGCCTGTAACAATAACCAATTTACCAACAAATCTCTCTTATCTGTGCTTCTCTATGTGCTGCTGAGGTAAGCACATCATTTGTGCTTCTAACCGCATCCACACTGGCCCTACCTGGGGTTATGTTAAAATAAATCCTAGTTATTATCTTATTTCAGAGAAAAATTTCAGTACCTATAAAAGACGAGGATCCTTTTAACAACATTCAAAATTTCATTATCATACCTCAACCCTCCCCAGTAATTCCTCCTTGAATGCCCATGAATATTGGTTCTTACTTGGTTCACGGTGTCTCTAAGAACACAAATTCTCCTTGTGTCTAATTGAGACCAGTCACCTGCTGCAAGAGATAATTATATTTCACATTCAATAATATCCTCCACCTGGATCATAACTTTTAGTATTTTTGAAAGGGTAACTGAGCCCAACTCTCCACTGCAAAATGCATAATCAGACAAATTTGATTGGAGCCATAACAGTTACTATGACTGCAGGCAAATAACTAAACTCTGTGCATCTCAGTTTTCACAGCTATTTAAAATATTAAGATACAGTGGATCCACACACCTTGGTTTTGGGAATGAGAAGCAGAGGGATAAAGTCCTCCTGAAACTTAGAAATTGCATTTTGCTCCCCAAGAAATATGTACCCCTTTCTACCACCCACCCTGTACAATTCCTCACTCATCCTGTGCCTATGTAGAAGAGTCAGAATTTCTTCAACAATGATGCATGTCTCAAGTCAGCCTAATATTGCAAGGTAGGAGCTCAAAATTAGTGATAAAATTTTAGTATGTTGTTAAATATATCACAGGGCATACTAAAATATTAGTTGTCTATATGAACTTCTGATTTATTTGTTTATTTATCTATCTATCTCTCTATTTATTTATTTGGCACAGGGTTTCACTATGCAGTTCAGGCTGGCCTTGAACTCACTATGTGGCCTGGGCTGGCCTTGAACCCACAGTGATCCTCTTGCCTCAGCCTCTGGAGTGCTGGGATTACAGGTTTGCACCATGACACCTGGCTTCAAACTTCAGATTTCAGTGGGTTTCTTGTATTTTTATTTTGCTGAGTCTCTTGACCCTATCCCGGAGCTTTGCCAGTCACTTTCTCCTGCCTACTTCGCACTAGTTCCATGACCTAGGTGCAAGAGCTGGTCCGACTTTCATGTTTTCGCTCATGCTCTTCCTTCTGCTTGGGTCACCAGTCTCCCACCATGTCCCCTTGGTAAACTCTTCTTATCCTTTAAACTCCAGTCCACTTGGTGCCTCCTTTGGGAAACTTCTGTGGAAGAGCACATTATTCCCATTCCAGAGTACCCAACAAACCTGGTTCTTACAGGACTTTGCTTTCTGGGTCTGTTTTAAGGTCTGGTCTCTAAAAATATATAGACAAGATTGAATGCCTGGGGGAAAGGGTATATGGAATGTTCCCTTCCCTCACCCCGCATCTGTCTCAGTGCCTCATAATACTAACATTAGGTATTAACTGAAAGTTTTCTGTGTAAGGAACTGTGCTAAGTGCTTTGCATGTAGCATCTCAAGGAATGTTCCATAACCTTTGCACATGATCTTAGCCCAAAGCCCAAGAAGTGATTGATTCATAACAGTTGGAGGTAAATTCACTTGAATCTCCACTTTGCAGGCAAGGAAATTAGGCATACAGAGGTGAGGTTGCAGCCCTCTATTTCCACATCTTTAAAATGATACTCAGAACCAGATTTTCTCCATGAGCTTTTTGCCTCAACTAGAATGTAGGTTCCAGAAAGCAGATACTTTGTTTTATAAACTATTATATCCCCAGAGGCCAGAATTGTGTACAACATTGAGCAGGGTTTCAGTAAATATTTGTCAAATAAATGAGTTAGTCACTTTACAGGTGAGGAAACTGCAAGTTAGGAGGCTAGATAGTAATTTGCCTCGGGGCACATATCTAGATTTCTGGAACTTTAACACTAGAGTCAAGGATGTGCTAGTAGATGTTTAAGTCACAATTCTGATTTGCAGCATTTGTTGATTTGCATAGTGTAAATACTCCCATTATGGTTGCTTGCAAGCCTCCCACCTGATGTCAATCAGTAATTTTTCCTAGAAGTTTAACCATGTGATTTTGCAAGCCTGTCTATTCAAAGTGACTCCAGCACAGCACAAACTAGGGCATAAATTTGTTTGTGTCCAAAGGGTACTCTTATCACTACACTGTCCTGTCTGCCTCAACAGGGCACACTAATATATATGTAAGAGGGGAAAATACATCCCAATAAACTTAGCTCAAAGTAAATGGCAGAGGTCATTCTTAACAAATATAAGCCCAATCACAAAACTTCCTGGCTTAAAATATTTCAACAGTTTTCCAATACCCTTAGCCTAAAATCCAGACTCCTTACCATGGTTCACTGTGAAAAAACCCATTGTGAAATGTTCCCCTCTATCAGGCACTGTTCTAGGATTTGGGGATACGGTGATGAATATAGTGTAAAGAATCCCTTCTTTCATGGAGCCTGCAATCCAGTTAATGAGGCTATCAAAAACAAGAAGCAACCACTAAGTACAAAATTACGGATGGAAATGTGTAAGCAGCAGAGGAGGTGCTAAGAGAAAAATGAAGCAAAAGTACTTAGAGGAGAGGAATTTGGGACTTTGAGAAATAAAATGACTTCTGTATAATTGGAGATAACATGGGATGGGGATGGTGATTATAAATATGAATGTGAAGGGCATGGGTCTTTTGGGGGAAAGTTTAGCTCCTCTTGAAGATGGAGCCTTATTTAAGTTTCAGAAGATTAGATGTACTCTTTGATTCTCTCCCAAAGATGGGCAAATTTTTCCTCTAGAAAACATTGATTGATTGATTGACTGGAACTGGGGATTGAACCCAAGCTCCTCCTAAAGAGTGACATCTCCAGTTCTAACAATTTTTATTTTGAGGCAGGGTCTTGCTAAATCCCTAAATTGCCTAGGCCGGGTTGGAACTTTTGAACCTCCTGCCTCAGCCTCCCAGAGTGCTGGGATTACAGGCCTGTGCCACCACACCCGGCTCAGAAAACCTTTTTATATCACTTAGGTAGACAAGATCATCCAGGTGCCACTGGACCTTGCCTAGATGACTAAACAGAAGCTCAGAAAGGGAAATGTGATCTCACTGGCAGTTTCTCAGCTTCCATTAATCATATGGCTTGGATGTCACTTCCCGAGCCAGCACCATTTAATGTAAATATAATAGGGACCCACAAATGACATCTACAGATGTAATTTTTTCTGAAGTACACTTAATAAGTGAAAAGAAACAATAAAATTAATTAATATATTTTATTTGGCCTAGTATATCCAAGCTATTATAACATGTAACCAGTCTAAGTCTTAAAATCCACCGTGTATTTTATTTACATTTATGACATCTCAATTCGTACTAGTTATATTTCAGGCGCTAAGTAGCCCAGGTTGGTGAGTAGAGTACGGGACAGTACAGCTCTGAGCCCAAGTCCCTGGAAGGCTTCTAGAACACACGGGAAACTCTTAACACTCCGCCCTGCACATAGGGGGCGCGCAATCAACCTTGGCTCCTTTTGGTCCTTTCTCTCACCAAATCTCGCTCCTCCAAGTCTCCGCTCCTCTTCCCCGCCCAATTCAGCCTCCAGGCGGAAGCAGTACGGGCATAAATGCAACGCGCTTTACGGTAGCTCTGCCTTTTACGGCAGTGTGGCCGGTGCTCAGGTCCCGCGCACTTTTATCCTATTGGCTCAGAGGTCCCCGCTCACGGTGCTTTATGGCAGTGTGGCTGGACCGCTTCTGAGCGGCCAGTGGTTTGGGTGTGAGTGGAGGGAAGAAGGGTGCCCGGTATTGACTGGGCCAGGAACATGGACGTGGGCGAACTTCTAAGCTACCAGGTAGGAGGGGTAGGAAGGGCCGGGGGACTGTCCCTCGCCTGGGCAGGGGTCGCAATGCCAGAATCCCTTCATCTCACCTTTTCTCATTCCCAGGCCCCCTCGCTTCTCATGGCACCTGGAGATGCAACCTCTCATTTCACTTCACTCACTGAGGCTCTCATGGGTCCCTTCCGTTCATCTCTTCCCTGGGCCTGCTCCCCTTCACCTTTTCTTACTTACTCCTCTGTGGGGCCTGGTCCCTGCAGCTTCTCTGAAGCCCCGCACTATCCTGTATTCACAGCCATCTTCCCTCTGCCCTCCACCTCCCGCATTGATTTTGATGTAGGGGTGATGAGCGTGCACCGCTTTTCTTTGGATTAGGGCCCCAGCTTCCCCACTGACTGCCTGTGTGGCGTTTGGACAAGTCATTTCTCTTTTTTTTGAGCCTCGGTTTCATATCTATAAATTGGAGACAATAATAACTACATGGGAGGATTGTTTAAGGATATGCCATATAATGGATGTGAAGGCCGTTTTGAAAGTGTATAAAGCTGTCCCCATCTGAGCTGCGGTTGTGGAGAGATGTTTGGAATTCTAGCATGGGAAGGGTTCCCAGGAATCTTCTTGTCCTCCTTGCTTAGGGTACTTGTAGGGAAAAGGTGACCCACAGGCCACAAAGTACTTGGCCGAGGTCACTCAACTCTGAGAACTAGAACTCAGGTGTCCTGGCTCCCAACCCAAAGCTTTCCCTACCGCTTGACTTTTCTAAAAAGGCTCGGGAGAACTGTGTTGTCTGGTCTGGTGGCCACGAGTGATGTATTGTATTTGAACACACGAACTATGACAAGTCTAAATTCAGAAGTATTATTATAAATGTAAAAGCTCCTGGATTTTGCAGACCTTGGATAAAGTTGAAACCTAGAGTGATTGCGTGATCATATTGATAACATCAGCTACCTTGATTATGGATCATGTTGATTAAGTGAAGGCTTGGCTGGAGAATCACCTGAGTCTAATGAGTTTGGGACCAGCCCGGGCAACATAGCAAGACATTAAAAACAACAAAACAACAACAACAACAAAACCTACCCGTTGTTTTTTAAACGGCTGGTAGAAAAATTTAAAATTTAATACATAAAGTGCAAGTATAGTTGGTCTTGTATTTCTGTTGGACAGTCAAATGTAGAAAAATTTAAAAATTTAAAATTTAAAATTTGGTAGAAAAATTTAAAATTTAGTACATAAAGTGCAAGTGTAGTTGGCCTTGTATTTCTGTTGGACAGTCAGGAGCCATGAGTCTGGAGCCCCAGGCTGCTTGGAAACTTCTTTTTGCTACTAAATGGCCTCTGTAACCTTGAACGAAATGTTTAACCTCCGTATGCCTTAGTTTCCTCCCCTGTAAGGAGAAGGGCAATGATGCTACTGACCTCAAAGAGCTGTTGTGAAGCTGTTGAGAAATGTACAGTGGTTAGACCAATGCCTGTCAAAGAGTGAATATTCAATAAATATCAGCGGTTATTTTTGTGCCACTCTCAGCCAGTATAAAAAACTGATAAGACTCCAGACATCACAGGAAAGAAGTTGTCTCTTGTGGTACAGGGGATCAAAACCAGCGGTGCTCTACCACTTAGCTTCATCCCAGCATTTTTAAAGACAGAGTCTTGGTAAGTTGTCCAGGTTACATAACTTGTGATTCTCTTGCCTCTGAAGTAGAAGTGCATTTGGTGAAACAAGAAAGGAGATAGTATTATTGGATGAGTGATTGTTTGTCTGGGAGTTATGGAATGGCTAGTCTGTAGACTTATACTAAGAATATTACTGCTGGAAGAAGTCCTATTTTTTTTGCTCACAAATATTTATTGAAGGCTGGGGATATAGCTCAGTGGTGTAAGCGCCTGCCTGGCAAGCGCAAGGTTGTGAGTTCGATCCCTGGTACTGCAAAAAAAAAAAAAATATATATATATATATTGAATGCCTGCTGTGTGCAAGGTCCTGTCTCTCCTGGGTATACATCATCAAATAAAGCAGAAGAGGCTCTTGCTTTTCTCTGACAGGAAAGTCTGGTGGGAAATCATAAGATAATAAATGAGGAAACAATCAAGAAATTCAGATGGTAATAATTGCTATGAAGGAGAAGTAGTCTGCTGTAAAACCATGCTATTTTGTGTGGTAGCTATTAGATACATGTGACCATTGAACACCTGAAATATGGCTAGTATGAACTGAGCTCTTGTATACATGTAAAATACATGCTAGATTTCAAAGACTTAGTATGTAATAATGAAAATTAAATTTCTTAATTTTTATATTGATTACTTGTTGAAATGATAATTCTTAGGATATTTGAGTTAAAGAAAATGTTTTACCAGGGCTGGGGATTTAGCTCAGCGGCAAAAGCGCCTGCCTGGCAAGCGCAAGGTCGTGAGTTCAGTTCCCGATACCGGAGAAAAACCAAAAAAAAAAAAAAAAAAAAAAAAGAAAATGTTTTACCAAAACCAATGTCATTTTGTTAAGAAACCTTTTAAAGTGACTACTAGAAAACTTAAAATATGTATGCAGCATGTAGCTTTTGTTAAGTTTCTTTAAATTTTTTTATTAGTACACGTATATGGTACATAATGTTTACATTCCTTTTGGGGAGCTGGTATGTGTACATAATAGATCTTAATTCCTTTTTTCACCCCTTTCCCTTCTCCCCCTCCCCTTCATCCATCTCTTGATCCTCTTGCCCTTTCTGATTCGTATTTGCAGTACATAATGTTTACATCCCGTTGTGGAGTTACTACATGTACAGGCTTTCATTGTATTTCTATTGGACAGCTCTGCTGTAGAAAATAACCTCAGGGAAAAGGGAACAGGACCTATTTAGATAACTTGGTCAGAGACAGAATCTGAGGAATGGACATTAATTGAAGGTGAAAAGGAACCATTTGTGTGAAGGTAGCAGAGTGATGGAGACAGGGAACAGCAAGTGTATGCATTAGTTGTAAGCAGAAGCTGGTGCAACCTGTAAGAGGAGCAGAAAGAGGAGCCATGTGGGATCACTAGAACTTAGTGCATGAGCAGGGAATGGTAGGTGACGAAGTTGAGGTGTAGGCAGAGGATAGATTATGTAAGAATTCTTGTGCCACAGTGAGGAGTTTGAATTTTATTTTGGGAAGTGATACAGATTATTTTATTCAGCCAGTGTGTTCACAGACAAAATGAACCCCAGGCAATTGAAGGGAGTTAGCTGAAGTTATAAGCCAAGGTAACAACTGATTTGAAGCCAGAATTCTGATCTCTTTATCTCCAGCCCATTTATTTCCTAAGTGCACTACCCATGCAGTTTCCTTTTTGTAAGATCAATGTTCACTTCCTGAATGATTGTACATCTGTAGTCCATAATCAATCAGATGCAACCATCTCCTTGTGGAGAGTCATCAGGACCAGTCACGGGTTTATGGATGTGAAAGCTCCTCGAAAACAGTAACATTCTATAGACATGAAAGGCAAATTGGTTGTGTGAATCATCTCTAAATCCTCACAACAAACCTACAGGGAACTGTTTTTTATTCATACTGTACAGAGGAGGAAACAGGTGCTAAAAAGTGCCTGAGAGTACCTAGCCAGACAATAGGTAGCAAGGCCAGAGTACTCATTTTTTATTCAGTACCTAGAGCCCCTGACCACTACCTTGTACTGCCTGCCCAGTGTGTGCCAGATGCTGAGCTAGAGTGCTTTCAGATAAGAAATCACATTTAATTTTCAGCATGTCCTCTGAGAAGGTGCCCTGCCTTCTTTATGGAAAAGGAATCTCAAGGTAGAAAAGGCAAGTTATTTGCCCAGTGTATAGTCTGTAAAGAACAGAGGCAGAATTAGAGTCAACTGAACACCCAAATTAGTTCTCCATTTCAAATTTTAAATATCTTTTAAAAATTAAAGTATAGAACACATATAGAAGAATGTGTAAATCTTAAGTGCTATCATTATTACTTAGAAAGTAGACTCAATGTGAACACTGAAGTTTTCTTCCTGGGAACATAGGGAACGACGTCATCTGATTTGAATATCCTTCCCCCAGCTTTGACTCAGTCTCCTGTGGGATCTTAGATTTTGCATTTCTAATCAGTTACCAGATGATTCTAAGACTGGTGGTCTGGAGACCAAACTTTAAGATCCTCTGGTCTAGAATGATCTACATTCCTTTTAAACCTTTCCCCAGCTGAGACATCCCTCCCTTCTCATGGGCATTGGTTTGCAGATTTTTCAGCTTGAGTTATACTTTTTCCCTGCCATTCAAGATATTGAGAGCAAATCACTTAATCTTTCTGGGCCTCAGTTTCCTTATATGCCTAATGAGGGGATTAAGTAAGACCGTTTCTGAGGTCCCTTCCAGCTTTAAAATTCTGTGGTACTAATTATTTAGGCCAAGGGCTCTAGAGATTTCAAGGGATAAAAAAGCTTGACATAGTAGAAGGCATTGGGGCCGAAAATCTGGGAGATTTGAGTTTTAATCCCACCTTTATCATTACTTATCCGGGTGACTCAGGACAAGTCACTTCCCTTCCATGCATATCATTTTTCTTAACCACTATAAAATGAGGAGTTTGGGCTATATGATCTCTGGTTCTTTCCATTCCTAAAATTCAGGGACTAAAGTGAGCAAGGAGAAGTATTATACACTGTCAAGAAATGTTTATTAAAAGTATTTAACATTTTTTTGGTGCTTACTAAATTTCTTTTTTTGGGGCAACTTGGTGGGAAGATTCCAATTTTTTGCTGAGATTGGTTTTCGGTAATAGAGTTAGGCACGAAGTGCCTCAGTGTATGCCTTACATCCTTGACATATGTTAACTATTCATTTGAGAAGACAGGAGAATTACAATAAGGATAGGAGGTGGTGGAAAAAGTCTTAAAGAGGAAACCAGTTATGTTCCCAATATGGAAATGTACTTTTTTGATGCCTTCAGGCTTAGACATCTCATCAAGAAGTGTGCCCAGCAGTTGCTTGGCTGAGAAGTTTCTGCTGCATAGGCGCA